TACAAATAAGTCTTGGAAACATTTATCAGATATAAAGAATTTTTTATTCAACCTAATAAGTGAAACGGCTATGCACACCAGCGATGAAAAGTGGATGCCGTGGCGCACATTTATGTACATCTGCCATAGAATAAGACCCAAAATATAGATGTCCGATAACTCCCTGAGAGCTTAGATGTAATACCTCGTTTCCTGCTTGCAAAAGGGGTATCGGCATCTTGTAACAAGATGCAAGATGCATTTTTGGGAAAAATACAATACTTGTTCAAGAAAAGGTGGCAACCCCACTTAAGACAGACATTTAATGATATAAAATTAAAGGTACTGTCCAATTTTTGTAAATTTGAAATTTGTACATAATACAAGTACCTATAATACAAGCACACAAGAGTAGGTAAAATTTGTAAATTTTAAAAATTGTACTTATTTGTGTTTTTTTTACACGATAGGGTGACAAACGAGCACACAGTCCACCTGATGGTAAGTGGATGCTGCGGCCCATAGATATCTACATATATCCTCGATTACAAATCAAAATGCAGATGCGTTGTCGCCCATGAGGACTAAGATGGAATGCTTCGTTTCCAGTAAAGAGGGTCTCCGGTTCTCTACACTCACCATACGAAACACAGCAGCATTAAGCTACTATTTTGCGCTGGTATTCTGTGAGAGCGTGGTCCCTCCCCGGTCGAGCTGACCCATTCGTGCTACGCTTGTGTGCCTGCACATATACGATCGACAATTATTATCTATAGCTCTTCACTACCCGGAACTCTACGCTAAAACAATAATATTTCTTAGCGGCCATCGCAGAGTCTATTTCTTCTGATGATGCCTCGTTTAGAGGCGAAACGATGGTGTGTTTCTAGTGTAGTGAAGTTGGTAACTTGGGAGTAGTCGTGGTGGGATAAACGGTGAAGGGGATATTTCACGCGGGTATATGATACATTATTTCTATTTAACGCGGATCTTAGCTAATAATACAAATTATTAAACACCAAAACAATTAATTAAAATATCTATACAAATAGGTAAAATTGAATTGTCTTTTTGTAACGCCAAAATAACAGTGTCTTACTAAATGCCTTATGAAAGTATATACACAATTTTTAAAACTTTTGTCTGTCTGTCTGTGTGTTTGTTCCGGCAAATCTCAGAAACGGCTGGACCGATTTCGGCGGGACATTCACTGGTAGATAGCTGATGCTATAAGGGGTAACATATTTTAATTTTATAAAAATAATTAGGGTTCTAAACAAGAAAATTAAAACCTTAAGTAAAACGCGGGCGAAGTCACGGGAAACAGCTAGTATATAATTAAATTGTTTTACAACACAAAGCACCAAAAGCACAAAGTATTAAACAGAATTCGCTCACCTCCCCATTCAAGAAGCAGTAAATGAGTGCAATGAAGAATCCTTGAAAGGAGCGAAGGAAGTAAGTTGTGTAGCTCCAGAGGCCAAACTTCCACACGCTGCTGTCCAAAGGGGCTTCCGTCATATTAAGTATGTTGGTGATTCCGAGCAATGGTAGGAGAACAAGTGCTGCTCTCACAGCTTTCCTGAGTATGGAAAGTATTAAAATTTAACTAACATCGACCTCTGTTGAACCTGACGGCCCCGTGGCGCGGCGGTTTAGCAATGTGTTGTAGTATACTATTATTTATTCTGTGGTTGCTAAGTGTAAGTGTAGTGTGGTGTGTAGCTAAAGGCCTCGGGTTTGAATCCTGCACGGGACAGGTATTTTTATGGCTTACTAATAACTTGTTCCGGGTTTGGTTGTTTGTCCTTGTGAAATTGATCGTAAACTGCCTCTACGATACAGGAAAAAGACCTAGTGTGAAGGTAGATAGTGTTTAAAAAAAACATAAATTTTGAAGTATTTTTTTTTATAAAACTGAAGTGCCGAAAGAACTTAGTGTCCACCGGATGGTAAATGACCACTGCAGTGCATGGCTATCGCCAACCAACCTCAAACAGAAGTCTACAAAAGCGTCGTCACCTCTATGAACTAAGATGGAATGCCTCACAGTCTAAATTAGACAGCAACGGCATTTGGCGACGGAAGTAGACGTGAGGGTACCTACCGCTCCTCGGCCGCGAAAGAGTCATACCGCATAACTAGTTGGTACTTTATCATTTAAAAGATATAATTATTTACAATTAAGAAATATCAAGTATTCTGTTATGTGATAAAAACTTAAAGTTTTGTTTTTTAATATTTAAGTTGCCACTACGAAAGTAGGCTTTGTAAAACAATCACCAAATCTATTAACTAGCTGCGGAAATTTGCTAAATATAAAATATGTTAAAGTATACAGTCGTTCAAGGAAATTTATATTTAATTAGGTTGCGGTCCTGGCAAAATGATTGATCGCTACGATTTTTAGAATGTTGGCCTTATGCTTACATTATTTTAATCTTTTACACATTTTTAATTCTTTAATTTGTCATTTGTCTGCTTATAGGCATATCTGCTGTAGATTGGTTTATTCATTTATGATCTAATTACTATGAAATATAACTAATATTTTAGAAAGAAACGTTAATTTCTACTCTTTTTCTAACGAATTAACTTCTCCCGCTGTGAAATCTGTCAAATATTAGACCTCGTTCCGTAGTGGCGTCATCGTGGTGGCAAAAATGTCATGGATGTTCTCATTTATTCATTCAATACAGCCTCAAAATTCCTCTGCTGAACTAAGGCCTCACATGCCTTAATTGCCTTACAGGGAGAATATTAGACGTGGTCCTCATGCTTGATAGGCGGGGAGGCAATCGCAGTTTTCTACTTCCTGTTTTGAGTTCTTATCAGAAAGATGATGTAGACACATACATACGTAAATAATACATACTATATACAGGTCAAGCTAATATACCGTGCAGTGGCCGCGTATATCTACTAACATAGCATAGCGCACTCAGGGTGTTCAAAGAGCAGGCGACAGAGGGAAAAAGATACAGATGGGCAGCAGCATCTTCCTGCAACAACTCGAAATAATAAAATACTGCGGTTGTCAACCCGCTCGTTAAACGTGGCAATTATGGCGAACCTCCTCCCCTCATAAGCCATTCTATGAGGGCCGCAGTGGACTTTTACAGGTTATAATAAATGAAAGCTAATATAATGTATATAGAAACATTTATGTTGCGAATCACAGTCCTTTTTTTATAATAAAATGATAACACCCTAGGTAAGAGTGACCTTTTATTAATCTAATTATATATAATATATAGCTATCTTTTGTCAAGTCGCTTTTAATATGATCCCAACTAACGAAGCCATAGCGCAATACGAGCCACCGGCGAACCCGTGTTGCTCTACGGACGAAGCTGATATTAAAAATATATTATATTGAATTATTCTATGAAATCTTTTACTAGTTACAGAGACATGCATAAGAAGAAGTCGAAGACAGAATAATTTTTTTCAAATATGTCTTTACAAAGTAATTATGTATTTATTTAAAAAAGGCGGCATCCAACAAATTACCCCGCAATTTTATACAAATAAGGTGAACTCACCTGACCTTCTCCACTTCAGTACTTTGTGTTCGGCGGAGTTTCACAATCAAAACTCTCATTATGTTGAGAAGGAAAATGAGATTGATCTGAAACAAATATAGCTTATATATTATAAGTAAAATCTATGAATGAATGATGAATGAATACTGAAAATCTTTAATGAAGGAATGAATTTCTTTATTTTGCAAATATGGGTAATACAGAATGTCATCGTCTAGAAGTCATTGCAAAAAATATGAAATAATTAAATTTTTTATCAATTTAAGTAGATATGTCAATCACAACACAATATCATATTAGATTAACAATTATGTCTATTCAAATTACATGTAAGTATAATAAGTCAATCGGTACATTATTATCACTTTTGTTTATTTATTAGAAGCAATCGTCAAATTAATTATATTAATAATAAAAAAATATAAATAAATATAATGTGACAAACGTACAAATTTTAATATAATATTTTGTCCATTAAAATACATTAATATTATAGTGATATTGACGTGTACACCAGTAATTTTGAAATGACTGGCTTCAATTAAGCTCATTATTAAACATACTTATTTACATGATATTACATTTTTTTAGTTCTGTGTAAGGGCTATATTTTGGAATGACAGAAACGATTGTAAATTTGTAATCAAACTTCAAAAACAGATAGAGAGCAATGCAAGGAGTGCCCAGAATATATTTTATTCGAAAAACTTAAAGATTTTATTAAAACATCCTGTAGGGTAATATAGTTACAACTTGCATGTAACTATATGCCTTGATGATGCCGTAAAGCGAAATTGGTATTTTGCAGATTGTATTTTGTGTCAGTATTTGAGACTCCATAGGCCTACATGTTCAGCAGGAAAGGCTGCAATGATGATGATGATGATCATGTAAAATAAAAAATACAAAATTATTACAAAAACGTTTCAGTTTTATAGGAAGATAGTGACTATCATCGGCTTCGATAGGATCTAATGATGTGGTCTTTTTAGAGATGAAACCTTTTATTTTATCAATTCGTTTTTTTCAAAAAAAAATAACATCAAGTTTTGCGGATAAAATATAGTTTAGATTCCCGCAGGCGCTCTATCATTTCGTAAAGTTTCATCAAAATCGAATCAGACATTTCGAAGATCCTAAGTCCGGACGGACTGCCAGGTATAAATACACGGAATAAATAAAAAGAAATGTTTTTTTTAATGTCCTAGTAATATCCAAATAATCTCCTGAGCTTAATAGAAACAAGTTATCTCAACAGTACAGACAAAAACTTACATAATATTTATGTGGTATAGATATAAGTTAGTGACTGTTTGAATATACGTAAATAGTATCCAGTTCAATTACCTCCTGGTTTAGTCCGTATTATATCTAAAACAAACGCGCTAAGAATAGAACAGTCGAGATCATAACATAGTACGTGTAACGTAAAAGTTCCATAATGTTTTTTCAAGTCGATGCCGAATATAACGCGGCTTACAAATGTTTACTCACCAATATAACAGCTAGCCGGGGTCCTTGGACGATCCAGTACAGCGGGCTGAAATTGTAGCCATACCAACACCTGCAAAACATAAACGCTGGTAGAGCAGCGATACAGCAGAGGCAGCGTGACTCACGTCTGCATAATATATACGAGTATACGATAGTTCTAACGATATTTCAACGTGTACGCGTGGATTGATAAGGAGTTATTGGAGATTTACGAACTTTGCGATGTGCTGAATGATGTTGGGTTGCGCAAATGTGTTTACGAAGACTACAGATAAACATTACATTCGAGATATGAAAGATAAATACTAGGAATGTTGCCAATCACAAAAAGTAAACTAAAGGTTCCGGTTAAGAATTTTATTATCCTTTATTTTTTTATTGATGTGAAAATTTCTTTAGAACCGTTGTAATTTTCAAACTCGATGAAATGTTAAAGCGACACCAAAATGTGATTATGCCTGAAATATGATTTATCCTGAAATAAAATGAGATAGAATACATAATAGTGTTCCTTTTTTAAAATTTTCGCCCATTCTGTCGAAATTTCTTTTCGAGTTTTCTGAAGTACCGCATACCGCAAATGACATCAACACACACTGCACAAAACAATAACGAAGTTTATTAAGTTTTGTTATTTTTTTCCTTTCTTGTTCTTTATATGTAAGATCTAGTATCATATAAAGAACAAAAAAGGAAAAAAGAGAAAGACCATCATCATTACAGTCCTTCACATGTCAACTCCTGAATATAGGCTTCCCCTAAGAAAACAAAGCACGGTCCTGAACCAAATGCATCCATCGACTTCCTGCATGTCTTATCAGGTCGACGTTCCATCTAGTTAGGGGGGGGGGTCCCCCTACACTATGCCTACTGACACTCGAGTAACTTTTTTCCCCATCGGTTGTCGTTTCTTGGAGCTATATGGCCTGCCTATTTCCACTTCAGCTTACTAATCCGTTGGACTATATCGGTGGTTCTACTGCGGATATCCACTTTTCTAAGTTTATCACGCAGAGAAACCCCCAGCTCTACATAGCTCGCTGAGCAACCTTGAGCTTCCTCATACGGCCAGCAGTGAAGGACCACGTCCAATCTCAGAGAGAGAAAAGACTAGTAAGTACATCAATACCTAAACATGCATCCACGAGAGGTGCTGCCATTAAACTTTGATTGTATGTATAATTGTACTGAGAAGATTTTTTGTTAAAGTTTTAAACGTTGGTGTTCAGAAAAGTTTTCTACCAAACAAAGATACAAGACTTTTTTCCCAAAAAATTATTTTTATTTTTATACATAGTCTCCTTGCTGTAATAAATATAAACTATAACTATTGCTATAATAATATAAAAATATATAACTATACACACTTCTCCCAGCGATACTTTAACATGTCTCTGACCAATACATACAGTACTCGGCGTTTTTCTCTGCAAAATAATTGTTCACGAAGGTGACTCCTCATTTGACGAAAATCTCTGTATTCTGAGCGCAATTTTTAGATGAGAGAAGAAAAAGAAGTCGCTTGGGGCTAGATCTGTTGAGTAAGGCGGATGGTCAAGCAGTTCAAACAAACCATAATTCGTGGATTTCGACATGGCAACTCCTGAGGTATGAGACGGCACGTTGTTATGGTGAAACAGGATTTCCTTTTTCTGGAAATATGGCCGTTTTTCCACAATATCTTCTTTCAGTTTGCCAGTTAGATTTTTCCTTTTTGAAGATAATCGTTTAAGATAACTCCATGACTATCCCAAAAACAGTCGCCATCACTTTCCCAGCCGAAAAGACAGTTTTTGCTTTTTTAAGAGCCGGATCCGGTTTTTGGTCTAACGTGACCACATGCGGCACCTAACAGCTTTCTCATGCCTAAATCTTGATTAAATATGTGACAAAAACGTTCTTTGGACATTTTCATAGCTTTTGCTCTCTCTCTTACTTTAATTCGGCGGTCGTCTAGTACCATTTAGTGAACTTCAGTAGTTGCAGTTATTGGACGTTCCGAACGTTCGTCTTCCAAGTTCTCACGGCCACGTTTAAATTCGGCTGCCCAAAATTTCACTGTGGTAAATGCCGGTGCAGAATCCCCATACACAGAGCCCAATTAATCTTTGATTTGCGTAGGCGTATTGCCATTCAAAAACAAAATTTTATGACAGCTCGATCACTGGTCCAAGCTATTTACACCGTCACACACTAGTTAATTAATTACCTTGTTGGATAGTAGTCATAAATACGACTGCTGATTGTGAGGTCCCAAGTTCGAATCTCGGATCAGGTCAAAAAAAAAATCAAGCAGACCCAGAGGCGGAAAGTTAGCGGTGTTTCAACCCCTTGTCTCGGAAACCACGTGCGTTTGTCCTGCATTATTACCGTCCCTTCGGACTATGAGAGTGAGGGAATAAAGAGTGCACCTGCAATTACTCATACACTACGGCACTATAATACTATACCGCGCAGATGGCTATTCTCCATAGGTACAGGCTGCCATGACCAAAATTTGGTCTGGAGGTCATTACTGTTACACATTACGAAAGACGAAATCCCTGTTTGCTCAGAATATCGTCAATAAAGAGGTGGAGGTCCGCCGACTATGTAGTCGTGTCTATAGTCTTATTGCGGAAAGAAGGCCGGGGGGGGGGGGGGCATTAAATCATGTAACTCCTACGCACACTCAATAGTCCAAAGTTGAATACTCGTCAAATATAACAACATTAAGCTTTCAATCAACGGAGTCCGATCAGGTACCTCACCGCGTACGGTCGCCTTCGACCCAACCGTGAAGTGCAGTTGTTCGGTTGAGCCCATGCGCTCCCGATGCGTTTTTCTCAAGAACGAAGAAAGAAAACCTGTTTTACCTGTTCGCGGAAGTGCTACAGTATCGTTGTGTGCCTTTACGGCCGCCAGGTGCATCGGGCCGCCGGCCCATTGTTCTATTGTGTAGTGCTAGTTAGTGCCCCACGTTCTCCGGATTTCCAGTAAACTGTAAGTAGTTTATTGCACACCCGCTGCCTCAGAGTCAGCAATTCTATTGTTTTAATTTCTGTGTTCGCTTGTCGCATTAGGCGACAGCTAGGTACACACCCTAGCGTACCAACGCGCTAGTTATATATAAGTGTTCGTTTAGGCACACACCTACCCCGCCGAAAGGTGGGGGGGGGGCTTGATACACAAGTGTTTTTTTAACCACTGACAAGATGGCGGCTATAACTATAGCCGAACTCGCCGACTTCTTCGGTCAAGTATGCCCCGACGCTTGGGCGACTTTCCTAGCCCAACGCAACAAGCCTGCTGCTGAACGTCCCGTAGTGCGGATCGACGACCCTATGTCGCCGAGCACCGGGCCCTCAACCCCTGTGTCCATCGACACAGTTTACGACGCCGCGTCCCCCGCGCCTTCTGCGCTCTCCACCCGCCGTCCCTCTCCGTTGTTTTCGGACGCCGAATCAGGCTCCGAGATGGATACAGACAACCACCGACCCGAAAAACCCGATGACGAAGGCTTCACCCTAGTCACACCACCGCGAAAAAGGGAGACGAGCCTCACTCGGTCCCTACGTCGCCCAACGCCACTCCGGCTAAAAATGTCGCGCCTTCCGCGCGCAATAGGACCTCGATCAAAACCGCGAACCCGACTCAGGCCGTACAAAGGAAGGAGAAACCGTCGCCCCCAATAATCTTACAGGACAAATCGCGCTGGAGCAACCTATCCAAGCGGATAGACTCCAAAAAGATATTCTGCCCCAAAGTCCACAATGGACCACAGGGCGTATCCGTATCCACGTCGCAACGAGGGACGATTTCCTCGCTTTAACTGCGCATATTAAAGCTCAGAATCTGAGCTTTCACACTTACTCTCTCGCGGAGGACCGTAACCTCCGTGTTGTAGTTCGCGGACTCCCTAGGGAGCTAGAAACCGAGCACATATTAAGCGATCTTAAATCGCAAAACCTGCCTGTTACAGAAGTGCACAGGATGCACCACCCAACCAACAAAAAGCGATACCTAGATCTTTATCTAGTAATACTGGACCTGTCTCCAGAGGGCAAAGAGATATTTAACATCACCCGGATATGCAACCTCACGGGGATTGTTGTAGAGTCCCCGCGTAATATCCGTTCGCATATCGCATATCGCGGGCATCGTTGGCCAATGCCACCGATGCCAATTATACGGTCAGGAATTGTTTCGCCCGGCCTAGGTGCGTCAAGTGCCTAGGCGGTCATGGCACTCCCGAGTGCCCCCGAACGCCCGAGACGTAGGACCCTCCGAGCTGTGTTCTGTGCGGCGAAGAGGGAAACCCAGCGAGCTATCGCGGGTGTTCCAAAGCGCCGCGTAGGAAGCAGAATGGAGGAGCAATCCGACGCGGACGAGCGGGCAACTCCAGTAGGTCGCGCCCACGTTATTCTGCCCCATCAGTCGCACCAACCTCGGTGCCGCAACCCGCGCCCGCTCAGGCTACAGCCAAGCCCGCCCCCGTTAAAGGAACTTCCGGGCAAGGCCCAAGCCTTCCGGTGCCTTCAGCACCTAAGCCCAACGCATGGGTTAAGCCCCCGGCGATTGTTAGCGCGGCCGCCTCACGGCCAGTGCCTCCTCGCCAGGCCCAGAAGCCCAAATCCGTCCCTCAGGCACCGTCAAACATCGACACTGACCTTTCGTTAGTGTTCAACTTCGCCAGCAATATTAATGTGACCGAAGTCACAATATTAGCTCGCAAACTTCGCGAAGCCAAGTCTATTCAAGATAGGCTCAATGCTACCATTGAGCATATCAATCTTATCCAAGCAATAGGTTCGTTCCAGTGCGCCTAAGCCAATTTTCTTTTTCATAACTAAAATGGAAGTAATATAGGTAGAACTAAGCAGGTTTATTGTTTAATGCTAACGGTATCAGAGATCAAAAGGTCATATATTTTTTACGCGACCATGATATCGACATCATGCTAGTGCAAGAGACCTTCTTGAAACCTAGTTTGAGCGATCCCAAAATAGCCAATTATACCTTAGTAAGAAATGATAGGCTGACCGGACCTAAAGGCGGCACCTTGATCTACTACAAAAGATCCTTGCAATGTGTAACGATATATACTCCGCCGCTTACTAACTTAGAAGCGTCCGTCTGCAGGATAGCACTTACGGGCCATCCGCCAATAATAATTGCATCAGCATAACTGTCTCCCTTAAAAAGTATATTAGATTCCGACATATTGGCTCTATTAAACATAGGCCCTAGCGTATTAATCGCGGGAGACCTAAATAGTAAACACGTTAGCTGGAATTCTAACGTTAACAATCCTAACGGAAGTATCTTAAGAGACCTCACGGAGAGACTTAACTTCGACGTTATCGCTCCCGAGAGTCCAACACGCTATCCCTTTGCAGATAACCAACATCCGGATGTCCTTGATATAGCACTGCTAAAGGACATCCGACTTACTATTAATTTGATAGAGGTTATTATCGAACTAGTCTCAGACCACAGGCCGGTAGTTTTACAACTGGGCCGGCCGGCAGGTGAGGTCCCTCAGACCAAAACCATTGTCTACGAACTCAGCATTTGGACACCATTCCTGACAAGATAGACTCGCTAGAGGAGGCCGATAGGGCGCTTCGTGTGTCGAGCGATCAATACACGAAACTTCCGGCGGATGTTCAACAGCTGATTAGAGTGAAGAATTCCGCGCTTAAAACATATGACCGCTACCGCACGGAAGCCAATAAACTTCGGGTACGAGATTAAACAACGAGTAGCCGAGTTTAGAAACGATAGCTTGGATAACCTCTTAGAAGGTATCGAACCATCTCAAGACGCCTTCTGGAAATTAACGAGAGCTCTTGAAGCCGACAAATCCTCACCGATGCCACCTCTCGTGAGGCTGGACAACCCCGATCCCGCCCTAGACGATCTCGAAAAATCCGAATGCCTAGCCGACAGTCTAGAGTACCAGTGCACGCCATCCACTGCACGTAGAACCGGAAGAACCGGTAGAAACGGAAGTAGAACGTAGGTCTGCGCTGCCACCAGCGAGTGAACCACTCGATCCTGTGACAGTAGAAGAAGTCACCGAAACCATCAAAAGCCTTAAGAATAGATCAGCTCCTGGGCCAGAAGGTATCAGCAACAAGGTGATCAAATCCCTTTCGGCGCCATTTATTTGCCTCCTTGTAGGAATATTTAATACCTTTCTCACGAACTGCTCCTTCCCGGACATCTGGAAAGAAGCAGACGTAATAGGGATCCCAAAACCGGGTAAACCACGTAATCGTCCCTCTAGCTACAGACCTATTAGCCTGCTCAACATATTGGGAAAACTATACGAACACATTATTCATAAGCGTCTCCGTCATTACACCGAATCTCACGGACTCCTCCTAGACGAACAGTTTGGCTTTAGAGCCAATCACTCATGCACCCACCAGATTCATCGCCTAACAGAATACATTCTGTCTGGTTTCAACCAAAATCCGATAAGGAAAAAGACTCGAAACACGGGAGCCCTCTTCTTCGTTGTCGCGAAGGCATTTGACAAGGTCTGGCACGACGGCTTGATTTACAAGCTGTACAAACTAAACGTGCCCGATAGGCTCGTGCACATCATACGAGCTTTCCTTTCAAACCGCACTTTTCGATATCGAGTGGAGGGAACCCGTTCTTCGCTTCCTCAAGGCCGGGGTCCCACAGGGCTCCGTCCTATCTCCACTCCTCTTCACACTCTTCACGAGTGATATCTCTAGAGACACCGTAGTGAACACCGCACTCTTTGCCGACGATACGGCACTCTTTGTGTCAGACTACAACAAAAATAGACTCTCTATAAAACTCCAAAAAGCGACCAATCGCCTTGGTGAATGGTTCCGCCTATGGAGAATTGACGTGAATCCCGAAAAAAGTGTAGCAGTATACTTTCAACGGAATTCAACAGCAGGTTCTAAACCAAAAACGATTTCTTTATACGACCGCCCAATCCCTTGGTAAAATCGGCCAAATACCTAGGCGTCACGTTCGACTCCCGCATGAGTTTCGCGACGCACATAAGTGTAGTACGCAACAGAGCCAAGTCAGTAATTGGCCGTCTACACCCTCTCGTTAACAGCAAGTAAGCTGTCGCTAAGACACAAACTCAGGCTGTACAAAACCTGCATTAGACCAGTTATGTCCTATGCAAGTGTAGCTTTCGCCCACACATATAAGACCCATATTTTAAAACTCCAAAGAAAACAAAACTTTTTCATCCGAAAAGCCACCGGTGCACGGTGGTATCAACGGAACTTTGATTTACACAACGATTGTGAATTACCATCTATCTCCGAATATTTTAAGATGTCCCAGCGCTACTTCGATAGAGTAGAAACCCCCCCCCCCCAACCCGCTAGTGACAAACGCAGCTACGTACCGATAACAAACGTCGCGCCCTATCTCCGTAGACCGCGAAATGTGCTAATAGAACCACCTCAACCGCTCGATCCAGTCGACCCAAACGTCGCAGGCACATCACACAACGACACTACACCCACACTAAATGGGACAAACACTACTAGGACAACGAATGGGACGCGTCGCACCCAAAGAGGGGCACGACGCGTTTCAGCTCACACCGCGTACACACCGTACACCCGCGTTCCTGGACGGTTCTCACCGCCCAGACCATCGACCGACACGAGCTGAGCAGTCAGAGACGGGGGACCGCACTCCCCCCTCCTAAAAATGCCTAAAAAGGCGACATGATGATTGGTAACAATATCAAATCACAAACCATTTCATCATCCTCACCTCATTGCCTTTCCCCTTTTTAATTAGCCCTGAGACAGATGAAGCTGTAAGAGTCGCATAGACTAACAGCGCTAACATCTAGATAATAGTAATAGTAAGTTTCAATCACCCCGTTAGTAACACATTTTTGATAAAAGAAAATTGTGTTGTGATCAGGGTTAAAAAAAGAATGCTTCGGTGGTTTGGTCATGTAGAAAGAATGAACGAGGAAAGAGTGACAAAGCCAATTTATGATACGAAAGTTTATCGACCAATATGGCAATATATTGAAGATGGGCCAGATTAACTCTATGTAACCGTCGAACATGCATAATTAGATATATTATTTACTTAAAGGATGCGAGAGATATGAGTCAGGATCGTGCCAAATGTGAATTTCTTAATCTTTGCCTACCCCTGAGTGACAGGCGTAAGTTTTTATGTTATTTTATGTAGTAACATATATAATAAAAGATCTGTACTTACGTCTTAAACCTTTCTCGCTTATAGTGAAGTGCGGTCATAGTGGCCCATATCACGGTTACTACGAACGGCAGTCCCCAACCCACAGCGTAGTACACCAAATAAGATATGCGCTCCCTTAAAGCGTTCGCTGTCACAACATTATGCAAGTACAGCCCCTCAATGAACATCCACATAAACATTACGGTTATGGCGTACTCCAAGAGCACGTAAGACGATTCGCAAAGATAGGGCTGAAAGAAAAAGATAAATGTGTTATATAGCTTTCTGCTTGGATTATAGATGGAATTTAATTTTGTGTTACTAGTCACTATTAGCTCGTTTATGTTATGATGTAATGAATTACAATTGTTAACCAGAATTCATTTTCGTTTTTTTTTTTTTATAAAAAATAATAAACAATATTCTAATTAATAAACTAATAATAAATAAAAATTATACTTTCGAAATTGTAAAATAAATGACATGTAGAAACAAAATAATCAAACAAAACTGTTAACATTTAATTTAAAAAAATTATAAGGATAATTGCTTACTGTAAACCGTCGTTATGCATAGAGAGAGAGAGAGAGAGAGAGAGAGAGAGAGAGAGAGAGATATTGCAAGTTATGGATAGAGGCGTATATTTTAATTGGCGAAACTCAAACATAGCAAATTGACAATGAATTTAGAATTTTCAATAAATTTCGCATTAGCTGAAAGTAGTTCGCATCGCAATTTGTAATGTACTTTCGCTTCGCTATTTGTAACAGATTTTCTACTGCGAGATATAAGTTTAATTTGGTTTAGAATCATCGTTACTATTAAAATTGTTGTACAAACCAGTATTAAAGGTATTCGAATTAAACTTATATTGTCATAATAGAAAAATGTCGTATGTTTGTGAAAATCCTTGGGGTAGAATAGAATAGAATAGTATAATATTTTATTCTATATAGATTACAAGTAATTCTTACTGAAAGTCAATATTTTACTTTACCACTGGTTCGGAAAAAAACCTCTGTCCTGGGAAGAACCAGCAAAAACCCAGCGGGACTTTTAAAAAAAATAATTTTACAATGTCAAGGATCACAAAATATTTACAAAATTTATTTTAGAAACACCTTGGTGGAGGGGTGGCTTTACTTTTTGAATACCAGCGTAAAATTCCAGCTTGATACAGCTGTGTTTCGTATGGTGAGTGTAGGGAACACGGAATCATTTAAAGGCGACATTCTGTCTTAATCCCTATAGGGTATAACGTACTTTCTTTTAGGGGTAAAGGAATGAACGAAAATATAATTATATTCTGATAGAGCACATTCGAAAAGCGATTGTTTATATTAAACTGGTAAAAAATACTAGAATATTAAATACAACCTCTATATAAATTAGGGTAGACTCGTCGGATAAGAGACAGCTGTGTTGGACATTTTTACCTTCGAGTATTATAAAGTGCTTTTCGAATTTCGTAGATATTTAAAAATATATTTGAGCTTTATACTATACATTTTTCAGTTAACCTAACATATATTATTTATACATTCAGCTAAGACGACATATTATGTAAATTTATTCTGAAAATCTTTTGTTTAAAATACGTCAACCTTTTCCCATCTCACTCACGGAATTGTTCCGTTTCTAAAATGTTTTATAAGTTTAAATGATACAAGAAAAACGCCAAATCTGGAATAATTATTTGTAGACCTTGCATGTCTCGTTCATCATCATCATCATTACAGCCCTTCACAAGTCCACTGCTGAACATAGGCCTCCCCCAAGGTATGCCACTGTAAAGCACGGTCCTGAGCCACCTGCATCCATCGACTTCCTGCATGTCTTACCAGGTCGTCACTCCATCTAGTGGGGAGTCGCCCGACAGTTCGCCTACCACTCGAGAACCTTTTTTCCCCAACGGTTATCGGTTCGTCGAGCTATATGGCCGACCCATTGCCACTTCAGCTTACTAATCCGTTGGGCTATATCAGTTACTCTGGTTATACTGCGGATATCCTCATTTCTAAGTTTATCACGCAGAGAAACTTCGAGCATAGCCCTCTCCATAGCTCGCTGAGCGACTTTGAGCGTCCTCATAAGGCCAGCAATGATTGCATGTCTCGTTAGGATATTCAAATTACAAGTCTCGCTTAAAGATTATCTCTTGGGGGGGTACATTTGCCGTAGTTACATGGTAAGCTTGGCAAGCCAGTAGGCAACTGAGATTTATTACTATTTTCAGTTGTTGTCAGGAAGGTATCGCTTTTACGACATCTACGGGATGTCATGAGGTAGTGAATTCTCTTACCTACCTCGTGTACATATCTAAGTGCATAGCCAGTTCAATATTTTAAATACATATCATAATAGCCAACGCGAAATGAATTTAAAGCGCCAATGAATTATGAACGATAACTTACAAATTATAATTCAAAGATTTTTTGTTACCATATTGTCAATTCCTCGCAGTGTTACATTGTCATAGGTCGAGTGGTCACCCAGCCGGCTCCTGATGAACGCTTGATCGATGTAAACAGTCAACCGGATCACCACTTGTACAACCATTGCGCAGAACAGGCTCTTGTGAATTCTGGTTCGGTTATTCCGTAATGATCTTGTGGGAAATAGCGTTGTTTAGAATTGCAATATTAATACTGATTAGTTATTAATCGCGGACTTTCTTATAAAAATCGTGAACGTACTTTTTGATACGCATATAATACATACCAAACATCATAGTCATCATCATCACAGCCCTTCAGGTCCCCTACTGAACATAGGCCTCCCCCAAGGAATGCCACAAAGCACGGTCATGAGCCACCTGTACCCATCAACTTCCTGCATGTCTTACGAGTCCGTCTCTCGTACACTTCGCCATAATTTAATTAATTTTAAAAGAGCGAAAACACTCTAAAACACACGATTCACTTCAAGATCGAAGTTTGCAAAGAAAAAGGTATCCCAAGTGATTTATGGTGCTAATTTACCACATACACGGCGATGAAGGGAAACATCGTGAAGAAACTTACATGTTTGAGAAATTAAAAAAATATCGAGACATAAAATCATTCGCATTTCGCATCGAATTGTTGCAGCACGGTGGACACTTTCTTGCCCTACAACTCTTTAAGAAGTAACGGTAGGATAACTTTTAAATTATTCACGTTAATATTAAGAATTTGGGAATCATATACGTTATCATTAAACGATTTGTGACTGCCTCATTGGTCTAGTGGTCGCAAATGCGAGTGCTGATGTCTCGGAAAGCACGTAAAACCGTTGGTCCTGCTTTTTATCTCTCTCCGGTCGTGTCAGCTTACTGTCCCGTATGGATGACTGGCGGTTTACCACTGTGCGATTTAAAATAAGTTTTCTTCCTCGCACAACTTCCGTATGGAATCGACTACCACCAGAGATTTTTCCGGACCGATACGACTAAGGGACCTTCAAGAAAAGAGCCTTCTCCTTTTTAAAAGGCCGGCAATGCGTTTGCAATTCCCGCGGTATTGGCATAGGCAGGGCATGATCATGGGCAGTGGTAATCACTTATCATCAGGTGAGCTGTGTGCTTGTTTACCCCCTCTCCCACAAAAAAAGAGTGCACTTGCGCTTGCGCACACACTCGTGCATTATAATCCTATCCTGTGCATATGGCTAGTTTCTGTTGAAATTCGGTTTAGGGGATATTATTATTATTATTACTAAACGATTTGAAGATATAAAGATATTACCTATGAAATTGCCGTTCTGCAGTACTGGCCATTTTAAATCAAAATAATTTTTATTTGACTAAGAATTTTATTTTATAATTTATTTTATTGTAAAAACAAGGAATTCTTTTTTTAAATTAGTCATCGCATTTGAATTATTTTCGTCATCATGGATAAGTTAAAAATTTGAGTAATTATGGAATACGAGTTTCGTCGTGGCAACAACGCGGCACAAACGGCACTACAAAGGAACGCACCACCTGTTATTGGTTTGCCCGCTACCGTTATGAACATTTTGACCTGAAATATGAACCCTGTGGCCGTCTGAAAGCGATTGTGGAAGCTGAAGATATTAAAACTACGACTGAATTAGCAGCATCAAAAAATATTGGTCCATTTGCGTCAAATCGGCAAGGTAAAAATCTTGACAAATGGGTGCCCCAAAAAATCAATGATCGCCAGCGCTAAGTATGTACGCGTCGAGACGTATCTCAGCAATTTCCATGTACCATAACCGCTGAGCAATCTCGAACTTCAACTATAACGGATAAAAATTCATTACAGATTTTGCTGAGAATCGTCTCGGATTTTAAAACTTTGAGATGTAATTTTGACTTTCAAATATCTACTTAATTTATACTTCCACTTAATAACAATTTGCCAATGTAATTGCAATTTCCTTAGCCAAAAATGCCAAAACAATTTGTAAAATATGGGTGCCATACATCTCAATTGATACAAGTTGCTCAACAGGTACACAAACGAAGGAATTTTGAACCGTATTGTTACCTGTGACGAAAAATGGCTTATGTTTGACAATCGCTAGCGCTCAGCAAGTTCGTTGGATCTTGGTTCAGCACCTAAGCAATGCCCTAAACGAAAAACAACCCCTAAAAAACGGATGGTCACTGTTTGGTGGTCTAGCGCCGGTGTGATTCGTTACAGATTTTTACCAAATGGGGCTAACATTACTTCAGATATGTATTGTGAATAACTGAACATAATGACGAAGAAGCTAGCACCTCTTCAACGCTCGTCGCCGCTGCTCCTGCTCGACTACGCGCTACTCCACAACAGACGGTCTCAAAGTTACAAGACCTGGGGTTGAAGGCTCTCCGTCATCCGCCGTGCTCACCAGACTTTACGCCTATAGACTTCTACTTTTTCCAGAATTTGGAGAACTTTTTGAGAGAAAAAAATTCAATACCCGAGAGGAAGTACAAAATGCCTTTGAAGAATTTGTTGCCTCCCGTCCAGCTGATTTCTGCAAGAAGGACATCAATAAACTGTCACTGGGTTGGCAATCCTGCATCGATTGTACGAGTGATTACTTTGATTAATAGAATTAAAAAACACAGAAAAAAATACGTTTACCTACTTCATAAAAAACGGCAATTTATGAGTAAAGACCTAATATACTAATATAACATATTCATTTCTAGAACTTAGTAAATTACATAATTAGAAACACCTATTTTCTGGATTTTTGCTGACTCGCATACTGCCTGATATCAATAACCATCTGCGAAATTAATCTAACTTTCTGGTAAACACTATTGTCAGTACCCACGAGTCTATCATAAATAGTTTGGGGCTACAGGCAAATAACTAAAAAAATTTTTAAATCTAAAATACGGAAACGTATTACAATCTTGAATTACTGAACATCATAATCTAGATGCTTGGCGGCACACCAAAGTGCTTTACGAGGAGTATTCTTCCTTGCACTACTTCTTTGTGGGATTGAAATTTTTTTAAAAGCAGGTAATGCCCAGCAGTTCCAGTTCAGAGCCGCATATTCGATGGCGCTCTTTTCTATATATAGGTAAATAAAAAACGTCTATATAAAATTTCAACAGAAAAAATGTTTGTACGCTGAATTTGGAAATATATAATTTTTATTTTCATTTTCATCCGGGAATTTATTTTACTGAACGAAATAGCCTGAGATGTATAACATAATTTAATCGATGTTATAATATTCAAGCACAAATACCTATGTAATATTTTAATGATATAACAATCATATTATATTTAATACTCATAGAGGGATGTTTCATGTTATTGTACTTACCTATAATAGGAAAATATAATCAGTGATATAATCAAAGCTATCATCGATATGCTGAAGCCCGCAATCTCCATGTACCGTGTCCGCTGAGCAATCTCGAACTTCAACTATAACAAATACAAATTCATTGCAGATGTTGCCGAGAATCGTCTCGGATTTTAAAACTGAGATGAAATTTTTACTTTCAAATATCTACTTGACTTCAACTAAATAACAATTTGCCAATTTAATTGCATTTTCCTTAGCCGAAAATGTAAAAAAACAACTTGTAAAATATGGGTGCTATACAGCTCAATTGATACAAGTTGTTCGAGCATATTTAATCTCGACATGAATGCCGACTGCTAGAGGCCTTACCCTTAATATATCACACTGGAAGTAGAGTTGAAGTAATATCCAACATCTTCATCAAATGGAAAATCACACGTAAAGTAGGCTTAAATCATACATCAGACCAACCTGAGCTTCCTTCTCATCATCGTAAACTTTTACAAACAGGGTCTGCACTTCGGGGGGAAAACAGGGCGTGTAGTTGGTCCAACCGATAGTGCTGCTTTCATTCGGCCGCCGACCCAGCCAGAGCCCGTCGTCTCCGCAACGGCGATAGGCAAGACCTAAGAAAAAACAATACAAAACATATACAAAAACAATACAAAACAGATACAATAACAAAACAAAACATATACAAAAGTAATAATAGTAATATTTATTGTTTCCCCCGTAATTTAATAGGTCGGGGAAAACTCCACTTACGTGATGTGTCGCTGAGGCGGGCAGGAGGGCAGTTCTGAGAGACGACCTCTCCCGCCGGCGTGGGAGGCCAGCAGAGATACGTGTCAAATGTAGCATTGCAGTACAGCGTCCCTACAAAGACAGATTCATGTCAGTGATTTTGATTCATCATCATCGGAGTCGTCATCATCATCATTTACGTGGTAGAGGCTTGCTGTAACGCGTAGTATGTCTGCAGCACGCATCATCGATCTGAAAAGAACCAGCACATAATATACAAGTGTGAAATTGCCGAATTATGTGCTTTATTTATGTGTTGCGTGGGGTTGGTGAAGAAAAGCGAAAGCCCTGTTTGCTGGTATCGATGCTTTCCGTCGTAGTCCTTATGACGACAAAACATCTGCAGTTTGATTCTTAATCGAAGATGGATGTAGTTTATGGACCACAGCATCCATTACCTTCAGGTAGGCTGTGTGATCTTTTGTTACACTTAATATAATACAATACTTATCATAAATAAAAAGAAACTAATCAGTGTCTATAGATACTTTCCCGGACATAGAATCAACAATTGGCTTATGTTTGTGAAGGAGTTGGCTTGCGATTAAAAATGTTGATGGGTGTTATTGGGATTATATGGGATTGTTATTAAGAAGACGCCGCCCTCCATACCCGGTTTCGTTCCCTCTGTCGCTAGTTGCGACACCCACGAGACGATATGACGATATATTCTGTGATATGTACGATAATCCCTATTCTTACACCACCATTACACCATTCACAAAGGCGTTATGCACACGCTACAGTGTACCTACTTTGATATTTACAAACAATGGGTAAAAGACGAAAAAAGCAAAATAGTAAAATAGAGAAATAAAACATTTAAACCAGTAGTGTCAATGCGTTGATGTCCTTCTATGTGTCTGTATACACATATAATATAGTATAATAAAGTGATAGAAGAATAAAAGCTAAAGAAATATTTTTAAGAAAAGAATTATCGGTTTTTGAAGGCGCAGGCGCAGCGATAAGTCTTTATTTTGATCGGTTAGTACAAGCACAGAGTAAGGAGTAAGAACGGTTTCTTTACTCATGTGGTATAAGGGCTTTAATAAGTCAAGAGCTAAGAGCGGGGCGCGACGGTTTGATAACTCATCTGTATAGTGTACACTGATTCTTATATAGGAACACTGTAACAATAATCCGATGTTCCACTAAGAACTGAATAATCATTATTGTCCATCATCGTTATTCTTTCTTATATCCTGAGTTTGATGTATTCATACATATTTGTAAAGCCAACTGGCTCACACCAAAAACGTCACGGAAAATAAACGACTATAATTTGAATACTATCTCATATGACACGTAAGAGATGTGTTTATGCGAGTGGAATCGTGGACAAAAGCTATCATATATGATAGCTTTTTATATATATATATATATATATATATATATATATATATATGATATTGAGTGAGATTGAGAGGTTCTATGGGCAGCTGTACACATCATCGTTGGAGCCACACGCAAGTGTGAGTAACGATCCAAGAGCAAGTCTTACCCGACACTATTCGATGATAATACCCGGACGTCAGTCTGAGCGAGATTAGAATGGCTCTCCAGCACCTTAAAAACGGCAGGGATGAGGGAGGGAACCCCAGGCAAGGATGGAATTACAGCGGAGCTTCTGAAAGCGGGTGGAACGCCGGTACTTGAAGTCCTTCAGAATCTCTTCAATTCCGTCCTCCATGGTGGCACTACTCCGGAGGCGTGGAGCAGAAGTGTGGTGGTCTTGTTCTTTAAGAAAGGAGACAATGCTCTCTTGAAGAATTACAGACCGATTTCCCTTCTGAGCCGCGTCTACGTGCTGTTTTCGAGAGTCGTTACGAATCGTCTCGCACGCAGACTCGACGACTTCCAGCCTCCCGAACAAGCCGGTTTCCGAAAAGGCTTCAGTACCATAGACCACATACATACCCTGCGGCAGATTGTACAGAAGACCGAAGAGTACAATCTGCCACTTTGCCTGGCGTATGTGGACTATGAGAAAACCTGTGATTCCGTCGAAATTTGGGCGGTGCTACAATCCCTTCAGCGGTGTCAAGTTGACTGTCGGTACATCGAAGTGCTGAAGTGTTCGTACAGTAGGGCTACGATGGCTAACCGAGTACAGAACCAGAGTTCGAATCCTATCCAACTGCAGAGAGGTGTAAGACAGGGTGACGTTATATCCCCGAAACTCTTCACCGCTGCGTTAGAAGACGTTTTCAAGCTACTGGACTGGAAAGGATACGGTATTAACAACTTCCCTGTCCGCGAAATAGACACAATAGTTAAACAATCAAAATGTTCATATATGACTCATGGGACAGTGAAATGGTTAACATCAATGGCGAGTACATCACTCACCTTCGATTTGCCGATGATATAGTCCTTATGGCAGAATCCCTGGAGGACCTTAGCACTATGCTCAATGACCTCAATGGTGTCTCCCAACGGATAGGTCTTAAGATGAACATGGACAAAACAAAGATCATGTTTAATGTCCATGTCACACCTATGACGGTAGTTGTTGGGAGCACTATGCTCGAAGTTGTTGACGAGTACGTTTACCTGGTATAAGTAGTCCGACTAGGTAAATCCAACTTCGACCGAGAGGTCAATCGACGGATTAAACTCGGCTGGGCAGCGTTCGGGAAATTACGACACATCTTCTCGTCAGGTATACCTCAATCTCTGAAAACTAAAGTGTACAACCAGTGCGTGTTGCTAGTGATGACTTACGGATCAGAGACGTGGTCCTTCACTGCTGGCCGTATGAGGACGCTCAAGGTCGCTCAGCGAGCTATGGAGAGGGCTATGCTTGGAGTTTCTCTGCTTGATAGACTCAAAAATGAGGATATCCGCAGTAAAACCAGAGTGACCGATATAGCCCAACGGATTAGTAAGCTGAAGTGGCAATGGGCCGGCCGTATAGCTCGAAGAACCGATAACCGATGGGGAAGAAAGGTTCTCGAGTGGCAGCCTCGTACCGGTAGGCGTAGTGTAGGGCGCCCCACTACATGGAGTGACGACCTGGTAAGACATGCAGGAAGTCGATGGATGCAGGTGGCTCAGGACCGTGCTTTGTGGCATTGCTTGGGGGAGATCTATGTTCAGCAGTGGACTTGTGAGGGGCTGTGATGATGATGAGTGATTATATTTATATATATATATATATATATATATATATATATATATATAGTACAGGTAAAGCAAATGTAGGATATGCTGACGTTAGCGCGGAATGATATTATATAAGTGTAATTTTGTAATAAATATCTAAACTTTGTTTATATAAAATTAAGAAAATAATGTATTACAGATAGAATCTTAGCGCAGAAATTACTACTATTGTGCTAACGTCAGGTCGTATGCATATGTACCTGTCTCTCGCATCCTAATAAACAAGCAGAAATAGCTATTGTTAATGTTACTATGAAATAGATGCAAAAATAAACTTAGTTTTGTACAATGTTCCATTGTAATTGTCTAAACATTGTTATTAGCCATAAATAATATTGTTTACTTTTTGTAAATAATGGAAAAATATATTTTGCACATACTTTGCTGTGCTTCTTATGTTTTAGTAACTAGCCAATAATTTTTACTATTTATTCTATTATTTTTACAGAGATCAAATGGCGGGGAGGTTAGACGAATATTTGGCGCGTATGTTTTTTATGTTCACTGATTTCTCGAAAACCACCACGATCCTGACACACATCTCTCGCCTCCTCTACATCCATATACCTACGCTTACATGCTCGTCGCTTAAGGGTACTTGATTTGGTCCATATTTTTCATTTTCTTCCTTTTATTGTCGATAACTTTCGCCTAATGAACGACACACACGGTCAGTTCAACCGATCATTCTAACTGATCAGTTCAAACTATTTTTTAAATATCGGATTTTCGATATATCGATAATTATACGTATATCAATATCCGAGTTTTATATGTAAGTTTATTTATCGATATATCGACAATCCGATATTTTAAAAAATATCAACAAACCTAGTTTGAACTGATCAGTTGAACTGACCGTGTGTGTCGTCCATAAGGCGTCCCTTCCCGACTCTGCCGTTCACTTCTGTAACACAGATTTACTTTGTCATTCTTTCCTGGTTCATTATTTCTATTATGACCAAACCACCGGAACATCCTAGTCACAACGTCATCTTGCAAACCACACTCTTCTAATTCAAATTTAGATTGGGCAGGGTCAATTAATGTTATTTAGTTTAAGATAATCGAACCTATTTATTTTATGGATAATTCGTTTTTTAAATAAATAAATTTTTAAAAAATAAAATTTCGGATAAAATATAGCATTGATCCCACTCCAGCCATGTTGATGATTAGTCCGGACAAAAATATCAGGCTAAAAAAATGTATATTCATTTAATCAGCTCAATATCAGCCAGTTATTTCGATATTACGCAGACTTCATTTTTTATATTTAAAGTAAATATTGTGATAAAATAGTGACTACTCTATATTTCAAAAAGGATTGTAAATAAATATTACAACTATGTACAATAAAGTTTATTCAGAAGATCAATTTGTCCTTAGGTTTATATGTATCGAAGAAATCTCTATATTGTGGAACAGCGACAGGCGTCTGCCCTGGGATTCCGCAATTCGTCAGCGTCTCTTTCGTCTTCTCTAAATCGAAGTCCTTCAGCTCACATAACTCTGCAAGGAACTCCATCCATTCGTCCCAGTTTAATTCCGACTTGCTAGAATATAAGATTTTCATATGTAATTTTAAAAGAACTAAGCGCGTACAAGCATTAAAGTTTTTTTTTTCGAAGTTTTAATAAGAACGATTATGTTGGCACGATTTCATATCTAATGTAACGTATATATAACTTTCTTTTTAAACGTTTTCTTTGTGTCGGAATTGGAAAAAGGCGTACCTAGTACAACTGGCAATAAATATTCTTTCACTATGTTACTTTTCATCGGAATATCTGGGAGGTAAATAAATAATTTCATATTTTGTATAAATATTTCGGTTGCTTTGACATCAATATGTTACTTTATTATGTTATAGTTTAATAAAATTAGAATAAAGTTACAGCCTATATACGTCCCCCTGCTGGACACAGACCTCCTCTCATTTCTGAGAGGGTTTTAGGGTAAGTAGGTAAGTGTTCCACCGCGCTGTCAGAATACGTGTTGTCGGACTTCACATGTCTTCGAAATATTTTATTTTTTTATTTTTAGACATGCAGGTTTCCTCACGGTGTTTTCCTTTAGCATCGAGCACGTGGTGAATCAGCACTTAAAACTGCAATTAACAATTTCATTGGTGCCGGCGGGGCGAACCCGGGTAGCTTGCGTACTGTGAAATTCACAGCGAGCACTAATACCCTGAGCTAGCACGGCTCCGTATATCTTAATAAAATGTACCGCATAGTTTAATTAAAATGTTCAAAATAGATAAAAAAAAATGAAAAAGGAACATACGTACCGTTGAAATTACAAAACAAAATACAATACTACAAAATCTGATTTAAAACTAAAATAAACTAACTATATATCTATAAAGATATGTCCAAAGGCCTACCTGAATTTGTTAAATAATATTCCAGTATCGGTCATTGTTAAATTTCTGTCATCTAGAATTTTCGATTGTCTCATCCAATAATCGGATCTATATAAAGTGATGGTAGTGCCGTCCCGTTTTGTATCGAGAAGCCTTGCGAATTCATAAAATTGCCCTTCAAGCGTCGCCTGCTCCTCTTCATCCATGTGTAGTCCCGATTTGATTCAATTAGTTAAATTCATCAATGCAACTGTCACTTGGAGCCTATAATGACGCACTTTGAATTGTTATGATTATTGTGTACGACCCGTTAACTCATCATTCATCGTCATCATCATTACATCCCATCACAAGTCCAAAGCTGAACCTACATTCAACAAATTTCTGCAACTATCACCAGGTGATCATTCCATCTAGTGTATTTACAGCGTAATTACTATGAAGGAACCTCCACTACCTTATACAGTCCTGTGAGTGCCGTAAGAGGCGACAGAGAGATACAAGCCTGGAGACGAGCAGCAGCATCTTTCTGACAACAGCAAAGTCATAATAAAAAACTACGGTTGTCAACCCGATCCCCAAGCGTGGCAACTATGGCAATACTCCCCCACGACGGGAGGTACAAAAAAACAACCGTTAAAGATTCGGGAACTGATATTCAGGATCATGTTTTATTTTATATGGATATTTCTATTTAGCCGGGTAAAAGGTGATAGAATTATGATAATATGATCCCCAATCGGCTGTCAAGACGGAACCTCAAGCGTTGACAATGGCGTCCACAACTTTTTCTGCGACCAGGGCGGCGCAACTTTGATATGAGAAAAATATTTAATTAGTTTCATCAAGTTAATTTGTTGGAAAAGTTAATTAACGTTTTTTTCTAAATGTTACTATTATTGTATTTTAATTAGAATTAAAAAAAAGTTATAAATGTTTAATTAATAGATTACAGGCCTGAGCAGGGGCGTAGCTACCGCCTTATCAGCCGTATCAATGATACGGGGCCCCCGGGCTACAGGGGCCCCGAATGTGGTAAGCACAAATTCGTAAAATGTTATCCACAAATCCACTCTTAGACCGTACTTCCCGAAAAAAAATCATATTATCAAATAGTTTCCAACGTGCCTAAAGAAGACCTGTCAGAAATTGTCCAATTTTCTATAGTTTTTCGATACATCTCGATAACAGAAAATTGTGATAATGTATTTAAAGAAATAATAATCATTATTGATAAACATATTACAAGCACAAAATTTACGTCGGTTATTAGCCCCTAAGCTGAATACTTCTACCTACTTTCAGGCGCTAAATTAATAGTTGCCTAGACGGGGTGCATAATCGGAATACTTGTTATATTCTGATTACATTTCTAATATATTTTAGTACATATTAATAATATTTATCTGCATTTTAATATTGTATCTCATTTAGCGACAATTTCATACTATCACAAAACAGTTTAACCCTCCCCTCGTAGTCGCCATGTCTAGTCCAATTCCACCTAAGCCACCGGATCCGAATTATTCTGACACTAACATTATTTCCTCACCAGCTGCTTATGTTAAAATTCAAAATGATTTAGAAGGTTCAATTAAAAAACCATGGCAGTCATTATCTCAAGAAATTTTGATGACAACTTCAAAATTATTTCAAATAAAAAGAAAAGAAAACATAAAATAAAGAACTTTTTCCGCGACCTTTAAGTTCGCCGAACAAGACAAGAAAAGGTTATATTTGATTTGTATTGTTTGGCTAGCTTAGTTCCTAGTAGTATTAATAGTAATTATTAACCTATAATCATTATATAATTTTTTCAATTCAATGCAAGCGGTTTCGGGCCTTTCGTTGGGCCCCCCAACAAATTTTGATACATCAGGCCAAGTGGCTTAGCGTGCCTTAGAGGGGCTAAGGCACGCTACGCCACTGGGCCTGAGGTATTATTTTGTGTATATACATACACTAGAAGCAGGAAACTATGGAGTGTAGAAGTAAGGAGTACCAACTCCCATAGTAGAATAGTTGAAAAAGTGTCCATCTGTAAGCGGTAAATACAGTTCATAAACTCTCCACAACTGCTAAGTTCATCCCACTAGCTAGTGGGATGAAATGAACTTAGCAGTTGTCGACGGTTTGAAGTGTGCTGCTAAACTGCTCAGTAGCTCTAAAATCTAAAATAATTTTATTTAGTAAATATAACCTCGAAAAAGTCGTCTATCCCACTAATATTTTTCGGCACGTTCTTTAAAATTTAACCCGTAGCTATAGTGGCGCCACCCTTATTTAACGGTTTTCTATGGACACTTTTTAATACACAGTCTGTACTCCTTAGGTACCTCTACACTCCGTACAGGAAACTTTTCAATGATGACGTCACTGTGTGAACATATGCGTGACATATAATATGTTCATCTCATTTTCAACTAGCGACACCTGCTGAGCGTAAATATTAACCCTCATTAATTTTGAAGACTGATTGATATTAGGGATGATCGATGTTTCAGAAAGTATTATTATTAATGACATAAAGGAAATTAATAAACAATGTACTTAGTTTAAACTAACTGTTTTAAAACAGTAATTTAAAGAAATTGAAGAAATTAACAAATATCTAGTTCATCAATTTGTTATATGTACCGTCCAATATTTTTTGCCGATTAATTGAAGAGTTGGTAATTTTGCCAAAGAAGTACCTTTCAATATGTTTCTCTGTTGATAAAGAGTTTAGCCAGTTTTTGAAAATAACTTTTCAATAATTGATTATGGGTTTATTGATATCGATGCGTCAATGTTTGACATGTGGCAACATCGAGTTTTATTTTTTAACATCGATGATCATCGAACA